TGCCATCGCGCGAGCTTTAATCCGAAAGCCAGCAATTTTGATCCTGGATGAGTGTACATCTGCGCTCGACCCTACAACCTCAGAACATATCCGTCAGACTGTCATGACGCTGAAGAAGCAAAGCTCTGACTGGCATCCGACAGTTCTGATGATCACGCATTCCCGCGAAATGATGGAGTGTGCCGACAGGATTGCGGTGATGGATGCGGGGAGAATAGTCGAGATAGGCGGATTTATGGATCTGATGACGAATAAAACGGGTTACTTGGCGAATTTAGTCGGTGGAGGTGAATGGTCGTGAGTGATCGATGCTCTTTGATGAACCTTAGGATGTTTTGCTTGTTTTATATAATCTGTGATTATCTTTCATATACCTCTTAATTATGTACAGATCTGTAATTTCTAACTTGACCAATATAATTTCATTCTAAGGTGATTTATGGTGTCCAAATTGGGTTACAACAGCTGAACTGTACATTAGTATATCTCACAATAAGGATTTTTGTAACTTGCAAGGGTACTGAACTCTTCGAATCCAGAGCACGATTATTTGAGGATTAACATAATTTTTACTTTGCTGTACACTGACCACAGTTGTTGCTATACACATACACAGCCAAACTCCAATTAGTACCGAAACACATCCATTTACTTTGTGGTGGTATACGCGCACGAGCCCATATCCATAGGCTCAATCTTTCCCTCTCGTGGCATGATATCAAAGTCGAAGATATCGGCAGGAATACCGATCGTCGTACACGAGTTGGGGATATCGACAATGGACGCGATATGGGCCTGCACCGGCGCGGAAGAGAGGAGAAGGTAGATCTGCTCGCCTGAGTAGCCAAATTGCTTGAAGTACTCGATAAGCTGTAAACATGCCTGTCGAAACGCGATGTGCACGTCGAGGAAGTGCTGTTTGCCATTCTCGTCCACAGAAATACCCTCGAAAGTGAGATATCGCGAAGGGCCGTAGTGAGCCTCCACCGGACCGGGCAGGAACATAGGGGTGTTCATGGCGAATTCCTTGACGCCGTTCTTGATAATGGAGCACTTAAGGGTGATGACACCGGCCATCTCGATTGCACCGCAGAATGAAATTTCACCGTCACCTTGGGAGAAGTGAAGGTCACCGACGGAAAGACCTGCGCCCTTCACAAATACAGGGAGGTACGCCTTCGAACCACGAGACAAATTCTTGATGTCAGCGTTACCGCCATGCTCACGGGGAGGGATAGTGCGAGCGCCCTCCTTGGCCACCTTGGCGAACTTTTCCGGGTCGATACTGTTGCCGGCGTAGGTACCTTTCTCCTGAGGCAATCTGGCGACCATGAGCGGCGAGTGGATCTCGACGTGATGGTCGTGGATGTCTTTCTCACGTACGTTCCACTTGGCAAGTAGCTCAGCAGATGGCATGGTACCCAAGATACCGGGGTGAATCAAGCCAGGGAACTTGACGTGGGGAATGTGACGGGAAGTAGCGAAGATACCTTCAAAGTCCCAGATGGCCTTGATCGCCTCGGGGTAGTAAGCGTCGAGCAAACTGGGGCCAGCTTCTTTGTCAAGGACACCAGTGTAGCCCCACGGTTGGTCTGGGAATGGCTGGATGTCCTGAATCTCGACGACAAGGACGTCACCGGGCTGCGCAATTATTAGCCAAACCTCCAAGATCGTGATTGAAACATTCGAACACATACTTCGGCACCATCGACACCAACAGGGCCAGAAAGAAAATGGCAGCCGTTAAGGTCGAGGTTGCGAATGTCATCAGCTGAGTCGTCGTTTGTGACTTGACCACCGGTCCAGTCAAAGCACTGAATGTGGAAGACCTCGCCGGGCTTGACAGTCGCCGCGAAAGGAATGTCGGGGTGCCATCGGTTGTGGATTCCTCCCTGCTCCCATGGCTTCTTGTCGAAGTCGATCTTAATTGCGGTTCTAATGGCTTCTACAGAACGTGTTAAATCAGCACCTCAACATGAACTGGTTCTTATGTTACAGATGGAGCGTCAATTGTCAGTGAAGTTACACACCTTTTCCCATTGCGACGACTGATGAAGAGTATCAGTAAATAGTGTGTTGGAGAGTGGGGAAAGCTGGAAAGATTCAGAGCGGACTAACAGCGCACGGGTTTTGATGGCAGTGGTCGACGAGAATTGTGGAGGCCGAGGCGGCATTGTGATTCATTGGAGGACCGTGAGCGACAGGGAGCTGAACCGGCACGGAGGAGTGGGCTACCGCCGGTTCGTCCGCCTTAGCAAGCCACAGGGTCAATGCAAACTCAGCCGGGACGAATGTCAAGAGAATGTAATTGAATTGACCTTTTGCACTAGGCATAAGTCTCAGTCATGACAAGCTCATACTAACTAGTGCATCACGAGGAGAGTAGGCGAGTGGTTCCCAACTACTCTGGAAATTCAGCAACAACTGGTCGCCGACCACGTCGCGGAAATACTATCTAGCAAGGATGTGATTTCCAGATTGGTGTGGACGTGGGAGTTGGCGTTATCTCTCAGCGCCCTCCAATTGAATATTCCACTTACCCGGACTGTGGAGTTCTACAAACCCAGCCAATCGGCGCCGCATGAGGGGATATTCAATTGCACGGCGTCAGATAACGAAAGTCTGATAGTGAGTCGCCGGAATACGGGAAGTCAACTCGCCAACCAGTTCCACACGAAAGCCAACCCATGACTGGCGAGTAGCGCACAATGAATGGTTCAACAGATCAGGCTCTGAACCGTTGTTGAATCCTACTGATTTCGCACACTCCGCTCGTTCTCGCCGCCTCCGCCTTTAAGTCCTATAGTTTTCTTTCCTCTTCTCCAATACGCACTGTATTATCTTTCATCATCTCCCCGTCAATTGCATCGCTCTCATCAGAAATGCCGAAGCGTATGTATTGTATAATTTGCGCCATTATCTTATCTAACAGCACTCTGCAGAAGCTATCCGCACCGCTGTCAAGGTCGACCTTAATACGCCCGCCTGGGAGCAGCCCCAGCTCCATAACAGATGGCATCCCGATATTCCCTTCTCAGTATGTTTTGTTTAAGTTTAGATGAGTTGCTGCGGTCAATCGAGCGGTTGCATGCATAAGCTTTAACTCAGGGTATTAACAGCGGTTCAGTGCAAAGTTCAGCCTGGAGAGGTTGTCAACGTCGAGTGTCTTGACTGGACTGGTGGCCAGATCGGCAACAATGACTCGGCCGACGATATCAAGTACTGTGACCTGAGCCGTATCCATTACCTTTCCGGTCCTATCGAGGTTGAGGGTGCTGAGGTGAGCTAACTCCGGTCGTATTGTCCGTGCTGGGAGATTACTAATTATTTATCAGCCCGGAGATGTGCTCGTGGTCGAAATCCAAGACGTCCAGCCCTTGCCTGAGCAGCCGTGGGGCTACTGCGCTATTTTCGACAAGAACAACGGTGGCGGCTTCCTCGATTCACACTTCCCCAACGCTGCCAAGGCCATCTGGGACTTCGAGGGCATCTTCTGCTCATCACGCCACATACCTGGTGTCCGTTTCCCCGGCTTGATTCACCCTGGTATCATGGGCTGCATGCCCTCGCAGGAGCTCCTCGATACATGGAACGAGCGCGAAAAGGAGCTCGTCGGATACCACGCATCGATCGGGACTGACCGTGTCGTTGCGAACCTCCCGCTTGAGAAGTTCACCCACGCCGGTTCCGCGGATTCTGACTCGGCTGCGAAGGTCGCGAAGGAGGGTGCTCGTACTATCCCACCTCGTGAGCACGGCGGCAATTGCGACATCAAGAACTTGTCCCGCGGCTCCAAGTCTTATCTACCTGTATACGTCAAGGGCGCCGGTCTATCGATTGGCGATCTCCACTTCTCTCAGGGTGACGGTGAAATCTCATTCTGCGGCGCTATCGAGATGGCGGGTGTCATCACAATCAAGTGCGAGATCATCAAGAACGGTGTCAAGGACATGTGCATGAAGAACCCGATGTACATCCCAGGTCCTGTCGAGCCCCACTACGGCCCATCGCGGTATCTCACTTTCGAGGGTCTCTCAGTCGACGAGACCGGCAAGCAGCACTACCTCGACGTCAACGTCGCGTACAAGCAGACTTGCTTGCAGTTCATTGAGTATTTCAAGAAATTCGGATACTCCGGAGAACAACTCTACATTCTCCTTTCGTGCGCCCCGGTTCAGGGCCACATTGCCGCCATCGTCGACATTCCAAACGCTTGCACGACACTCGGCGTGCCGGTCGATATCTTCGAGTTCGAGTGTCTCCCTAAGGAAGGCGGTTTTGAGAAAATCATCACTTCTGACTGTGCATTTACTTCTGGAGCGTGAACGGAAGGGGAAAGTTGTAATATTGGAATTGTGGATTTAATGTTTCTGCCTTTGTGACGATCGGATGTACAATGCAATTGCTGAGATAATGAATAATCGAAATCAATGAAAAATCGGAGTTAAAAGTAATCAGATCGCAACTCGTAATGAGCATGCGTGTGCTAGGACTGACTTTTAGTCAAGCTAACAGAAAGCTCTTGCGACGACCACTACGAATGATTGACAGAGTTAGAAAGTAGTGAGCACGAGTGTTTACGGAGGGAGGAGAAATATGGCGTGGCATCGTTGTTGTTACGACTGCATGACCGTCGCGGCCAGCGTTCGTGCGTTATCGTGCTAGTTGTCATTTCCTCGCGTGATCTTCCCTGTGGATTTTTGCAATCACTAAATTGCGGATGTTCTGTATATCTATACCAATAAGTCTGTGACCAAATCATTCATTCAACCCATTTGAACGATGACTAAGTATGCAGGAGCGACACATCACAGCCACAATCCATTGATTCAATGTCTCGCCTAATTGATACTTTTTGCAAATAATTGTCTCTTTCCAGTAATCAGGTAACTTTCTTCAATTAATTCCTGAAACTCGTATTCCAAAATGCTCAGGTAAGGGTTCGAACACATTAACACTATAAGTGAACAGTTTTGAGTTACTTTACCGTATATAAAGTTGACAGGCTGTCCGAGTGGTTAAGGAGTTTGACTTGAATTGCACAAGGTTCATGGTTATCAAATGCGGTCCCCGCGCGTAGGTTCGAATCCTGCGCCTGTCGAAATTTTTTTTATTTGATCTTTTCTAATGCATTAGTTTTGTGCAATGGTTTATTTACAGTGAATTAAAATATTTCAATATTCAAGGGGGATGATATATTATATATATACAGTGGAGTACAACGAATCACAACGTCGCAACCAAATATCATAGATCGTCAACAACTTTAATTGCGACTGGTGGACTAATGATACTCCAGCTCCAGTAACAATTAAGCACCAGCATTGCAAAAAATAGTTGACGAAGCAATGCCAAACAATATGGTACAGCAAGCCCTCAAGTCTAGCTCATAGGTGACAAAAATAGCGGATATCATACATAACAATCCATACCGAGGTGTAAATTACGTCTATTAATTCCGATTCCCATTCCTTGTAATGGTTATATACCTTCTGGAACGGTACTTGCGCCGATATTGATACCGCCATCAGTGACTCTTGCATCAGCTGGCATAGCTTCCGTACTTAAGGCCCCTGCACTCGTGCCCGAACCCCAGTCCCAGCTAAACACGGCCGGAAAATTCCAGATATCTCTGGGAATAAACGGTTGTTGAAAGTTCATCATTTGTTCGAGCACGACCGGGTCGGTTAGTGCGGCGCCGTTGAAAGTGGAGTTTTCATTTATATTGTTCGGAGTCGGGCCCGTAGTTGACGCCAGAACAGAAGACGATGCCCGATGCGGAGGGGCCAGACCCACTCTACTAGGCATTGACGTCGACTCCGCGTGTATGGGCGGCTCAAAGAGTGCCTGTTGGCCTATATAACTTGACTGCGTAGATCCATTTGGCGATGGCGAAGGTACAGTCGATGGTGACTGAAACGGGCCATATACGCCTATATTATTCGTCCCCGTCTGCCCGCCAAATAAAAACTGCGTTGGTGACTGCTGTGTCGGGTACGTCTGCACACTCTGAACAACCGGCGGCTTGGTAAACACATTGCCTATATTTGTCTCGACTCCCGTACTCCCCGCAGTCAAGGCAGCATTTGTAGTAGTAGTACTACCCGTACTAGTGGCGGTGGCACTGGCAGTGGCAGTGGTACCGGCAAGCGGCGATTCCGGCGCCGGACGTTTCTTCATAGCGTGTTCTTTCTCGGACCTCTCGACAACCACGGTCGCGATGCGCACCATTTCTTCAATGAGACCTATCGCGCGCTGGACTTTGCCGGAAAATTGTGCTCGCTCAAATACCAGACTGACAAATTTGACGGCTGTGCTCATGAGTGCAAGGTCCGATCTCGACGACTGCTGTTGTGGATTTTGCAGACAGTTTGCGAACAAAGTGACAAGCGACGCGATAGTGTGGTACACTACTAACCAGCCGAAAGACTCCTGTATACTGTCAAAGTATTTTAAAAGGTAAATTGTCGCGCGAGCCGCCTGTACGCACAGCGCGGCGGAGGCAAACACACGCGGATTGCGTGGGGTTGAAGACGGCGCTGCAGCGCCACGACGGGGACGCCGCCAGGTCAGGTGGTGGATGGACATGCGGTGGATGGCGGTCAGGCAGCTGTAGTAGCCAAAGTGCATATAGACGAGGTGCAGGAGAATTCGGGGATCCTGCTCGATGATTTCATGGTCAGGTCTGTGTTGCAGCGGAATGGAGTCGCGCCATTCCAGTAGTTCTTTGTCAAGTTCGCCGATCGTGTCGAGTAGCTCGGTCTCAGATACGCGGGAGGCGGCGGCGGAATACAGACGGGTGTATGTTCTGGATTGGATTTGAGAGAAGCGGATCATATAGCAAAACATGTAGGACGAATTTGTCTCGGTTAGCGTGTCTGTCGACACGTCCTGGTCGTAGATGAACGGCGGTCGGCCGGTGCGTAACGACAGATCTTTGTCGATAATATAGCAGATCCAGAATATTCGCTGCCGCCGATAGGCTTCATCTTCTGACAAGCCGTACGAACTCGACTTTGAATGCAGACCGATGCACTGCGCGATCCGGGCGGCGTTAGAGTTGACCATGTACGCCACTTCAGCCGAGTCCGAACCGTTGAGGTAAAGACCGAGCGTGAGAAGTGTCTGCACGGCCGTAATGCTGCTGGCTCCAGCAACTAATTCGTTAAGATAGCACATCGCATTCATGAGATAGCCACCACTCTTCTCAACAGTTTCTTGCAGACTCGGGAAGGCTAGGGTAGACATCGTATCACCTATGGAAAATTCTATGGTCTGAATGCGCAAACTGATGGCCAAGATCGCGCACATGGCGCAATAATCTACTATCCGGAAACGCTTGTCTGAATAGACTGAATTCATGATCCGATGCATCTCGTCAAGCGTGAATACCGGTAGGATCGGACAAAATAAACTGGCATATAACTCTAAACACTGTTTGGCGATCTCCATGTCGGGCAACGGCAGAGTGGTATGCGTCTTTCTCCCGGGAAAATTAGGAATAGGAATGATGCTAGGTAAGTCGATGAGCATGTTGTCATCGAGTGCGCCATACCGGGACTCGTCGCTGTCGAAGACATTTAGATGCTGCAGTTGCTGGCTAAACGAGTTGTCGCCAATCCTTTCCGAGATCCACTCTAAGCCGCGGGGCGAGAATATAGATAAAACAGACGACTGCCCGATGAACTTGCTGTCGCCATCGCGAGATGTAATCAAAAAGCTAGTAGTCTCGTCGGTCTCGTCCAGATGAAGGTCGGTCTCGTCCGCCACGGACGCCTTGGCGAGGTCTTCGTCATCTGCAGGCGTGACGTGGTTTTCTGGACCTTTGCCGTGCATTGGGTTCGACCGCGACGATGTGTTGGACAGGCTGACTGGCGAGCAGCCTTGGACAACGCCGCGTATACGATCGACGACAGTGCTCTCGAGGTCGACATGGTCGTCCAAGGACTCGGGACCGTACTCCGGCACGAAAGTGCGGATGAGGTCTTCCATTTTTTCTAGCCTGGACTCAAGTGATTCTATATATTTCACACTTGATCTTGTCAGCCAGGTTGAGACGGCGTGCTTAGATATATATACATACCCTTTCGGCGGATTGCGTTTCTTTTCTGTGTATGTGAAGGTGCAGACGGCCTTATAGTTGCTGCAGTTTGTGCAGGACGGCATTTTTCCGTCGCATTTGATCTACCGTTGTCAGCATCAGTAGTCGGGATTGGCAGGCGACGGTGGGTTGTTTGCAACCGACAATAAAACAATAATAATAAATGCAACAGAAAACCTAATACCTTCTTCTTGCGACAGGAGTCGCATGCGCGCCCAATTCGTCGTCGCTTGAGCTCGGAGTCACCAGGCAGGAAGTCGCCATCGGGAGGGCTACCGTCGGCCATGACAGAAGGAGACGCGGATCCGGGGTAGAGCGGACTCGGGAACGAGCTCATTAACGAATAGTCGAATCAGGACGCGACAGGACGTGACAGGACGCGACAGATGATGCAAGAAAGCTTCCCGGGTAATATGGATCTGTAAAAATGTCAATATGGTGCAGAACTTGACTGATGACGGCGGTCGACTGAGTTGTTGCTATGGTAGTAGACACGCGGAAGAATGTGCCTGATCTTATTACTCAGTTTCCGGTACAGATGATACCAGGATAGAAAGAACCGATGATGCGGCTGCGCGATTAGTGATGCCAGCAGGAAGGTTGAAATAACCCTAGCCCTAAATTGCTGACATGATTTTCTGAAACGGGGAAAGCGCCGAAATTGGACCAAGTCCGCTACACAAAACCCTCGTTTGTCACCTTCCCCTAGTGCAAACAAATCATTATGCGGAAGTTGACTATCAGCCGATCCACGGCCAACAGACGTTAAATCATGACTTCGACCTAACCCTTATAATGCCAACATATTTTCTGAAGCTTTGCAAATATAATCTAATTCAAATCACCTACTTGGATTTTTTAGATTACAAACCGAATTATGTACGTGGCTATGTAGTAACGAGCCAGACTTGGAAGCGTTGGATAATAAATTTCGAAAGTGCACCTCTTATTCGTATGACTATAGTACAAACGCTTCGAACAATTCGCCACCAAATGCAGAGACGCTATTTACAAAATACAAACCACAACATGCAAAAACAAAATAAAAACACTAAGAATCCAAACGCGCCTTCTCGTGTGCCCACCACTTAATACACGCCCTATGACCGCCATTCTCAAGATCCCAGGGATCCATACTAGTGCATCCTCGAACGTTCTCATGCCTGGCCACCCCACACACCAAACACAAATCAGATTTGTCGCCCGTATATTCTCTGAACACAAATGACGCATCGATGTACGGCAGCTCTCTCATGCCGACCCCCGCAATGCGTTCCCTTAGGACCTTCCACAATCGTGCAACCTCGCGCGCCTCTCGGTCCGCTTCGAATCTTCCTCCACGTCGTTTTCTACCTGCGCAGATTCGTACTGCGACCTGTGCTCCGGAGAGTAAACTGGCAAAGAATTTTTTCGTCTTGGGATGCGAGAGCACCCGTCTTTTGAGCGGAAACGGTAGAGGTGCTAGTTCCTGGAACAGAGGGAGTGGTAGCGGGAATAAGTTCGATTCGAACAGTGAGAGAAGAAATTCCGGTTTTGGCAAGACCACTGTTGTTGGTTGTGGGGGCCGAGTGGCTTGGTGCTGTGTATCTTCGACATCTTGCCATGACTCAAAGTCATCTGATGTATCTAGCAAATCTTTAGCTATCATCGTAGTCGGCTTCTGAGGTGACGGCGGAGGTCGTGGATGGGAATGTCCGGTCGGTGGATGACGGCGCTGTTGATGTGGATGTCCGCCGATACTGGGCTGTCCATCAAATATCGACGAACTTAAATGCGCCACGCCATTGGGTCCCTGGGTGAGATGCTGGCCGAACCTCAACGGCTGTGCATAAACGCCTCCGTAGCCTGCTGCGTGGGGACTAATTGCTTGTTGTTGATGTTGTGATGGCGATCCGCGTGGCGGACTCTGGACACGTATACTTCGCTCGGGAGAGCTCCTTGCAGGTCGCATTGACGACAAACCGCTCGGTGAAATCGGACTAGTTGTGAAATTTGACAAT